CCGGTGCGTGTCATGCGCCTGGGGCCGGTGCCTCCCGTGCGCTGCGCGCCTGGGGCCGGTGCCTCCCGTGCGCCACGCGCCTGGGCAGGCCGGCCCAGGTTGTCGGTGGGCGTGCACAAATGCCCCGGTGGGTGCCATGGTGCCCGCGAGCACCGCGTTGGGGACCATTGCTATAGATCCACTCTGGTCACTGTAGTCCTTAGGTGCGTGTCATGCGCCTGGGGCCGGTGCCTCCCGTGCGCTGCGCGCCTGGGGCCGGTGCCTCCCGTGCGCCACGCGCCTGGGCAGGCCGGCCCAGGTTGTCGGTGGGCGTGCACAAATGCCCCGGTGGGTGCCATGGTGCCCGCGAGCACCGCGTTGGGGACCATTGCTATAGATCCACTCTGGTCACTGTAGTCCTTAGTTTCAAACGCATGTATTAAATTTGCTAAAGGCATGTCTACATAGTGCAGCAATGTGCAGCAGAGGGGTGTGAATTCCAGTATGCACCAATGTGTTGAGAGCCAATTGGCAGCACATCTTAGTGGTACCCAGAAAAAGTTATCTGTTGTGAGTTTAATCCATGCCAGCAGGCTCTACATGGTCCAGTTAGTGCACTTTACAATGCTACTCATTAAAGTTCTCATTACTCTGGTGTACATCAGCACTGGGATGTATTAGTATTGCAATTTAAACAGTTAACTGTGAGCTTATTGGTTACTGAAACAGTTGCATGCCAGCTCTCAACCCCACTCCCATCAATAAAATAAATACAATTATTCACATATTTAAGTCAACAGATGTTTTGCCATTTTCATCTATGGACCCCCTTTACACAAAGTCTAGGTCAAAACTGTTTTTGAAATTAATAGGTAGCAGGTTTAAAACAAACAGAAGTATTTCTTCATGCAATACACAGTAAACCTGAGGAACTCTTTGCCAGAGGATGTTATGAAGACCAGGACTTTAACAGGATTCAAAAAAGAACTAGATAAATCATAGAGGACAGGTGCATCAATGGCTATTAGCCAAAATGGGCAGGAATAGTGACCCTAGCTTCCGTTGGAAGCTGGGAATGGGTGACAGGTGAGGGATCACTTGATGATTACCTGTTTTGTTGAATCCTTCTGGGGCACCTGGCATTGGCCACTGTCAGAGGACAGTAATACTGGGCTAGATGGAACTTTGGTCTGACTCAGTATGGCTGTTCTTATGTTCTTGTGTTTCAGTTAAAATATGTTAGGTTGTGTTTAAAATAGGGATGTTAAATTTAGTTTAATCAATGTTTAATCAATGCTGGCTCTTAATACATTGAAGGAGCAGAGGCACAGCATCTGGGACTGGACGCAAGCTGGAAATCAGCACTACAAAAAGGATGTGGAAGCATTGGAGAGGGTCCAGCGGAGGGCAACCAAAATGATTAGGGGGCTGGAGCATATGACTTATGAGGAGAGGCTGAAAGACTTGGGTCTGTTTAGTCTGCAGAAGCGAAGAGTGAGGGGGGATTTGATAGCAGCCTTCAACTTCCTGAAGGGAGGTTCCAAAGAGGATGGAGAGAGGCTGTTCTCAGTAGTGACAGATGGCAGAACAAGGAGCAATGGTCTCAAGTTGTGGTGGGAGAGGTCCAGGTTGGATATTAGGAAAAACTAATTCACTAGAGCACTTTAAAGACTAACAAGATGGTTTATTAGATGATGAGCTTTCGTGGGCCAGACCCACTTCCTCAGATCAAGTGGGTCTGGCCCACGAAAGCTCATCATCTAATAAACCATCGTGTTAGTCTTTAAAGTGCTACATTGTCCTGCATTTTGCTTCAACTACCCCAGACTAACACGGCTACATTTCTATCACTATTCTAATTCACTAGGAGGGTGGTGAAGCACTGGAATGGGTTACCTAGGGAAGTAGTGGAGTCTCCATCCCTAGAGGTGTTTAAGTCTCGGCTTGACAAAGCCCTGGCCAGGTTGATTTAGTTGGAATGGGTCCTGCCTAGAGCAGAGGGCTGGATTTGATGACCTTCTGAGGTCTCTTCCAGTTCTATGGTTCTATGATTTATGAACTAGTTGATGGAATTTCCATCAACTAGTAGATTAGTCTAACCCCATTGTGGCTCTGCTTTTTAAATATATTAATTTAATTTATGCCGGCTCTTAATACATTTAAAAAGCAGAGGCACAGCATCTGGGACTGGATGCAAGCTGGAAATCAGCAGATTCCCCGCTACCCCCTGTCTCCCACGGAGACAGTGCTGGGGGGAACCATCTTAAAAGATTCTTCCAGCATTGGCTCCTGCTCCCCCATCCTTGCTGCCTCTATAGGCTGCCTCTGAAAGAGGAGGAAGGGACTAGTTGATTATCCGATAAGCTTATGCTTATCAGATAGTTGATTAGTCAACTAGTCAACTAGTCGCTTACATCCCTAGTTTAAAACACATTATCTATATAGCTATACTAGACATGGAAAAAGAGGGCACTTTTGTGTAAAGCAACATATTGCCCCAATATATTTATCTCACCACTGAAAGAATTCAGGGACAAAACAAACTATATTTTCCACCCATTTCAATGTTGATTAATGGGCAACTGAACGGTGTGAAGCATTTGACAACTTAGTAAAGGTAACCTGAAGACGAAGGAAAATTTAAGTTACAGAAAGCTGGAAAAGGTGATGTTCCTAACCAAAAAAAAAAAAAAAAAAAAAAAGAAAAAGACTCTTTGTTAGTACCTGCCTTCCCTGTTTCTGTTCTTCTGTCCCCTCTGCAGATATGCTTTCCAGTACCCTCCTCCTGCTTTTTTTTTCTCCTTTCCATTTTTTCACCGTGCTTTTGGTCACTTGCCCCTCTCCTAAATGTTTGCTCTTCCCCAACACATTTGTGCTTCACTCCCTGTTTTTGTCCCCTGCGTTTGTCCTCCTCATTTTTGTTGGTCTTTTCGTATTTATCCCTCTCTTCTCGCTCCTCACTGTTTTAGCTTTCCTGCTGTTTCCTCTCTAAATGTAATTGCTCCTCCCCCCTTTTGTCTCTCTCCGTTTTCCAGATCTCTTCACCCTGTTTTTGCTTCTTTACTCTTTCTGCCTGTTTTACTTCTCAATTCCTCCCCCGCCACACACACCTTTTTGTTCTTTTCCTTTCCCCTACCCCCACACTCTGTTTGGCTCATGGATCCGATCTCTGCTGGCAGGTGGGAACAGAAGCAAGGGCAGCGACCTCGTTGTTGGGAATGCGCATGCTCTTATCTCTGGAGGAAAAAAAATCTGACACTCCGTCGGCTCGGGGAAGTCGCAGCGCGTGCGCAGGCAGCTCCATCCAGTAAGGAAGGCTTGACTTTCTCTGGGATTCCCGATCTGCAGTGCAGAGCAAAGCAGAGAAACGTGTGGAAGCAGCTGCTGGGCTCGCAGGCGCTCTCTAAAGGGGATTTAAGCCGCAGAGAGCGAGAGAGGCAGGGACCGATTCACCGATCTGAATTAAATACTCTCTCTAAATAAAAATCTACCCTTTTGAGTCTGAGCCTTTGCGTCAGGTGACAGCAGACAGCGCAAAGTGTAAGTGTTCCCTTTACTCTCGGATGCTCATTTTGGGTTCATAATGGGTTTGGAATTTCTTGCACCGATGTGTCTTCTGCATGGATGCGGCGAAATGCATGGCTACAATAAAGTGCTGAGGGCTTTGCATCATCCTGCTATTTGGTAGCAATAAAGGATGAGGGGGCGAACATTTTGTGATGGTGAAAAGAGAAAGCGAATTGCGAAGTGTTTGCCTACACAATATTTAAAGATTAGGATTACTTTTTAAAGTCCTTTAGGAGGAGAACAGTGGGAAGGGAGGGGAATATAACTGCATATGATTTTCAAAACTATAAATAGAAACCTTTTCCTACATACATACATCGCTTGATGCAGATGGCGAAGTTGTATTGCTGACAGAAGTGGAGGATAAAATAAGAAGGGTGTAAATTGTCAAACTGTCGGTGCAGATTTCTTTTGCCCAGGAAAAGTGGCAGAGGTGTTTGCTAGTGAAAGTGGATGCACTGCATGGGATGGAAATAGATGCAGGCTTCTGTGCCATATGCTGCTACTTAAAAGCTTAAAGCAATATGTTCATCTCTGCCTCTTTTGAGCGCGTACAAATAATCCTAACGACCAAAGTTGAGTAACATTTCTTTACCTTTTGTATATACTTTGTGTGTGGTGGTGTTTTATTGACCAAATGGAGGGAAACTGTATCCACAACAATCTGCCTTGATCTGTTTTAAGATGAGTCTGGACGCTATATTGATTAGGATATAAATACCAACAATATCAGAAGCAGGCATTGATCGCTCGTTTATTAATTTGTGTTTGGGCATGCTTTGCTGATAGCCCGAAGCCTTTGACATTTCTGAACATTTGAAAAGCAATAGAGAAAAGGTCATTGTGTTTTCCTGTGCAAACAGCCCAGGCGAAAATTAAGAGGAAGATTCCTGCAAGGTCATCAAACCTACTGAGAAAAAGCAAATTGTTAGAGATCCTTGCGATTACTTCCTTGATGTTCTTGGTTTTTGTGACAGATGTTTCTCTTAAATGGACCGTCCTTTTGTGCATATGCAAGATATGAGCTTTGGAGTAAGCGCGCTCATCTCACTCCTCGAATGTGGTAAATTGCTGCACGGTGGATGTGCTGCACTTCTATTTACTTGGGAATAGGACTAGGTGAAAATGGAGGTGGGTGGAGATAATAAAAGCTGGTGTGCAATCCAAGCCATTTCCCAGGAAGACGTGAGAAGGAGGGAGAGGAGACGAAAGTAGAATTTCATTTTAAGAGATCAAAACAAAGGCAAGTTGAGGCAGATCAGTAGAACTCGCGTGGGAACCGAGGCGTTAAGAAAGAATGTTTCATAAAAGCTGCTGTGGCTGACTGCCGTGCTCTGAAGACATCCAGCATGTTTTATCGCTAAGGGACAGGTCAGTCCCTAAGAACACGTAAGTAGACTGTCTCCATGCCGGTAGTACATACAAGGAAGAATGTGCCAAGAGGAACATGTTAAGAATAACATGTTTTAAATTAATGATGTAGACAACTAGAGGGGAAACATGGGGGTATACTTCAAAGTGGAAAGTTCCCTTCTCCTCTTCCCAGGTATTTGGCCAAACTATTAAGAGGCAGATCCCTGATATTGCAACTGGAGTTTAACACATGGACAACTGGGTGTGCTCAGTGCAGTTGCTGTCGATTTAAAAAAACCGTGTTCGTGCCTATGTTAAACTATCCAGAATAATGGGCAAAAGGGGGCGGCGTGGTGGTAGACCACTGAACACTCCTGGAAACCCCACATTTCCTAACAAGATACTCCCGCCTCAATATTTTAAAAGGTGCTGCTAGAAATACATGCCACAGCCCTTAGCGATTCTCCCAAATCCCCAAACTCCTTTCTGTACCCATACGGCCCGCCTGCAGCCCCTTAGTAAAACCCCAAGAAGCCCTTCAACTTGACCTTCTTTTTATTGCCTCTGCAGATCCGGCTGCATACCCCTCCTTCATTCTGCAGATACCGGATCTCCCCGCAACCTTCTCTCTGCACCTACCAGACCACCCTCATCTCTTTACCCGAACCCAGCAGCCCCCTCTTTGCACCATCAGCTTCCCCACCAGCACCTCCTCTCTGCATAGTGGTCCCCCTCCCCATCACAGCTCCTGGTACAGATTGCCCGTGCAGCTCCCCCTCTTCTCTCACCTGACCCCCCCCCCCCTACAATCCCCTCTCCGTATACACCGGACTGGTGCAGTCCTCTCTGCACAGACTGGATCCCCGCGGCTCCGTCTCTGCGCACAACAGATCCCCTTGCGTCCCCTTCTCTGCACACATCGGAGCCCCCTGCAGCCTTCCACGCGAGATCTCCCCGCGCCTCCCTTGCACACGCATAGCACACCGTCTGGAGCTGCAGAAATGAGACCCTGCCGCCGTTCCCTGCCCCCCGCAGAGTCCTCGCCCTTCCCTCCTCTGACACGAGCCCTTTCTCTCTGCTCTTCCCAATGCGCTTCCCTGCTTTGTCCCTGAGCCTCACGACAACTGACTCCTAGGCGGCCGGGGGTGTGACCCTGCGGAACGTGCTCCCGAGTGCAGGGCGCGAAGGGGACTCATGCGCCTTTCTGCCCCCCGCGGACGCGGGGCCGGGGCTAGTGGTGGGATGCAGCACAAGCGCCAGCGGCTGACCCAGCTGTGTGTCTCCCTCAAAGTTTATTGAAAGTCAGAGCGTGGGGGGTCACGTGAAAACAGCCGCAGCTGGGTGTGTTGTGGGCCTACACCCACACCGTGCGCAGCACCACCCTCGCCATGTGCTCTGCGCTCCTAGAGGCAGGGTGAGGTGGGGGCCTGGCAGGGTTTGGTAACCTCAGCGCTGAGG